CCCCTGGCTTTGGACCATGCCCACTTCTGAATTTAATTATCATAAACCGGACCGTTGAGTCAAAAGGCGTTCTCATTACTCCACGTTCACTAAATTCCTTTGTACTATTTTCCCAACTAAGAAACCCTGATTGCGCGGTAGGATACGTATTGGGCTGCTAACTCACCAACTGCTTCTTGGGAACCCTATACAGGGTCGCTATAAGCGGAAACCGACTCGACGGCACTTAACACCAATAATAACTACAAGGTCGTTATGAGTAGGAATTCACTCGATGGCAGTGGGTTTGGGATTAGTCTAGCTAACCCAAAACTTAAATAGCTGCGTGGAGTCGATTCCGACTAACAGCAACACTATTGTAGCAATATTATTGTTGTTGTGAAGTGTCGTCTAGTCGGTTTCCACTTATAGGAATCCAAGGAGCAGCTGGTGAGTTTGAACCGCCGACCTTGTCATCTAGTGCTTTATTGCACAGCACCATACCAGGACTCCAGCAACTCTATAAGGAAAGAGTCCAACTGATACCTGGTGTGGTACTGTAGGATTAGCACTGGACGGCAAACCTCAAGGTCGGCAGTTCAAACCCACCAGCCGCTCCTCGGAAACCCTATACGGGGTCTCTCTGAATCTGAACTAACTCAACGGCACTTAATAACAGCAGCATTAACGGGTTTCCAGGCACATAACAAGTCTAACTCTCTAGAATTCCTTTTTCTCTTTTTTAAGCCCCATCACTTTCTTTTAAAAGGAGCTCTAGTAGCATAGTGGTTACAAATCGGGCTGCAAACCTCAGGGAGAGCAGTTCGAAACTACCAGCTGTTCCGCTCGAGAAAGATGAGGCTTTCTGCTCCCATAAAGATTTACAGCCTCGGAAACCCTGTACAGGGTCACTATGAGTCGGAACCGACTTAATGGCACATCACCACCACGATCACTTTAAGTCCCGCCTCTCAATGTTTCTTCTGTGGAGCCACGTCCCCTGGGTTTAAGCTTCTCCTGTGCACACCAGAGCTTTGAAGCTCCACCTTTTCCAACTTTTGTGAGACGGGCTGGCTCACAGCTCATGTTGCTAATTGTTAGGTGCCAACCACCCAGTTCATGGCAATCCACTGAAGGACAGAAGGAAACCAGGCTGGTCCTGTGCCAGCCTCACAATCGTTGCTATATGCGAGTCCACTGTTGCCGCCACTGTGCCCGTCCATCTCACTGAGGATCTTCCTCTCTGTCACTGACCCTCTACTTTACCAAGCATGATGTCCTTCTTCAATGGACTGGAACCTCCTGATGACCTGTCCAAAGGGCATAAGATGAAGTCTCTCCCTCCTCATTTATAAGGCGCATTCTGGGTATGTTTCTTCTAAGACAGATTTCTTCATTCTTGTTGTTAAGTGCCGTTGAGTCGATTCCGACCCATAGCGACCCTGTATAGGGTTTCCAAGAAGCAGCTGGTGAGCTTGAACCACTGACCTTGAAGTTCAAACTGACTTTGCAGTCTGACGCATTAGCCCACAGCGCCACACCAGGACTCCATTCTTCAGGTTGTCGTTATGTGCCATGGAGTCGGTTCTGACAGTGACCCTGCACAGGGTTTCCGAGGCTGTAAATCTTTACAGGAGTAGAAAGCCCCATCTTTTTCCTCATCTTAGAGCTGGTAATTTCGAACTGCTGACCTGGAGGTTAGCAGCCCGATTCGTAGGTAGTCCATGATATATTCAATATTCTTTCCCAACCATAATTCAAAGGCATTAATTCTTCTCTGGTCTTCCTTATTCATTGTCCAGCTTTCACATGCATATGAGGTGATTAAAAATACCAAGAATGGGTCAGACTCACCTGAGACCTCAAGATGACATCATTGCTTTCTAACACTTCAAAGAAGTCTTTTTAAGGAAATTTGCCAGATGCAGTATTTTTGCTGTTAAATGCCTTGTAGTCAGTTCTGACTCACAGTGACCCTGTATAGGGTTTCCGAGGTGCGGCTGGTAAGTTTGAACTGCTGACCTTGTGGTTCAAACCGACCTTGTGGTTTTGAACCTCCAGTGCTTATCCTACGATACCAGGACTCCCGATGCAGTATGAGGATGCTTAAAAGTGTTTTAGGACAAATTCCATTATATTTTAACTCCATTTTTTTCACGAAGATTTCGAAGACCCCTCATACATAATTTTATGTATTTACTGTTACTTCCATGGGTGTTGATTGTGGATTCAAGCAAAAATGAAATCGCAGAAAATTTCAATCTTTTCTCTGCTTATCTTGATATTAAGGAGCTCTGGTAGCATAATGGTTATGAATCGGGCTGCGAACCGCAAGGTCAGCAGTTCAAAGCTACCAGCTGCTCCAGGGGAGAAAGATGAGGCTTTCTGCTCCCGTAAAGATTACAGCCTAGGAAACCCTGTACAGGGTCACTATGAGTAGGAACCGACTCCACGACACATAACGACAACAAATCTTGATATTACTTATTGGTGGTGGTGGTGCCGTGAAGTTGGTTCCAACTTCAAACAGTGACCCTGTTTCCGAGACTGTAAATCTTTAGGAGAGCAGAAAGCCTCATCTTTCTCCTGAGGAAATGCTAGTAGTTTTGAACTGCTGACCTTAAAGTTCGAAGCCCAACTCGTAACCACTAAGCTACCAGAGCTCCTTACTTATTGGTACAGTTGTGAATATTTTTGTTTTCTTTGTGTTGAGATATAACTCATACCGAAGGCTACAGTCTTTGATCTTTACCAGTAAGTGCCTCAACTGCTCTTAACTTATAACAAGCAAACTTGTGTTATCTGCATATCGCAGGTTGTTAATAAGACTTCTTCCAATGCTGATGACATGTTTTTCTTCATATAATTCAGTTTCTCAGATTATTTGCCCAGCATAGAGATGAAATAAGTATGGTGAAAGAACACAAGCCTGGAGCACACCTATCCACCTCTTCTGTTCAGATGACTACCTCTTGATTTATGTACAAGTTTTGAATGAGCACAATTAAGTGTTCTGCAACTCCCAGTCTTTGCAATGTTATCCATAATTTGTTATGACCCACACGGCTGAATGCCTTTGCATAGCTAATAAAGCAAAGGTAAACATCTTTTAGTATTTTCTGCTTCCAGTCAAGATCTGTCTGACATCCACAATGATAAGCCCTCATTTCACACCCTCTTCTGAATGTGGCTAATGCAGTCTCTTCAGTCAGTGGTTCCCTAAGTATGGCTAGGCTACCAGGGGCATCAACAGGCCCTGGAAACTTGTTAGAAATGCAAATTATTGAGCCCCTCCCCCAGACCTATTGAATTAGAATCCCTGCAGGCGAGATGGTGTCTAGCAATTTGTATATGTATGTTTCAGGTGTCTCTGATACACACCAAAGTTTGAGAGGCTTTATCTCACTTCATATTGTAAACCCTGCCCCTCCCACAAAGTACTGAAAGCTTCCTTCCTCACTGACCCCACCCTAAGCACCCAAGTCCAATCCTATCACCCCCTCCTTCTCAGGAATTTGCTTTATAAAAATGGAACCTCCTTCATTCCACATACTCTGAATAACAGTTTTGCCTCTGGGACTCCTCCTAATAACTAAGTCCCACCTTTTCTAAAACCAACGAGTCCTAGTGGCTTTGTAGGATAAACATTAGACTGCCAAGCACAAGTTCAGACCCACCAGCCACTCTAAGGGTGAGAGATGAAACTCTCTGTCCCGTAAAAATGTACAGCCTTGGAAGATCTGTGAGTAGGAATCGGCTCCATGACTGTGGGTTTGGGGTTAGCCTATCTAACCCAAACCTGAACGGCTGCCCACTCAGAGCAACTCCATGTTGTTGTTGTTAAGTTCCCACTCATCGCAATCCTTTATAGGATTTCTGAGGAGCAGCTGGTGGGTTTGAACTGCCGACCTTGTAGTTTGCAGTCCAGTGCTGATCCTACAGTGCTACACCAGCACCCCTGTAGGATAGAGGAGAACTGCCTTCACAGGATTTTCAAGGCTGGTGTGGCGCTATGGCTTAAAATAAGGTCGGCGGTTTAAGCTTACTAGCCACCCTTGGAAACCCTATATAGGTTGCTATGGTGCTTAACACCAACAACAAATCTTTAAAGCTGACTGCTACATCCTTTTCCAGAGAAGCGGCTGGTGTGTTTAAACGACCTTTGGTTGGCAGCCAAGCGCTATAAAGACTGTAAATCTGTATGGGAGCAAAAAGCCTCATCTTTCTCTCACGGAGCGGCTGGTAGTTTCGAACTGTTTGCAGCCCGATTCGTAAGCACTACGCTACCAGAGTTCTGTCAGTCTAAATCACTCACTTAAGCCCAACCCTAAACTCACCAGTTGCTCCTTGGAAACCCTATACAGGGTTCGCTATGGGTCGCAATCCACTTGATGCACTTAACAACAAATATCTTATAGCCCCACCTCAGTTCTCAGCGCCTACTTCTAAGCCCCGCCCAGTTCTCACTTTACAATCCAATGAGCCTCTTCCTTCAGTCCCAGCTCCGCCTCCTGTTTTAGCTACGCCCTTCATCCAAGCAGCTCCCAGACCTCCGCCAGCCATCAGAGTTGTTGGTCCCGTCAGATTTCCTTTCTCCAAACGTTGGATTCCCCAGGACTAGGAGATTGGAGCCACAAGACAGCTACACTTTGGCGACTCTGACTGTAATAGGGAAACCTAACAGCCGCATGGACCGTCCCATGTTTTACTGAGAATGCGTTGTTTACTGTGAGGCGCAGAGGTTTTATCCAAACTCTCTCTTCAGGCGCTTCAGTGAGGCCCATTATTTTGGGGAAATCTGGTGACACTGTGCACAAGCGGTTCAAACCCACCGGCTGCTCCCCAGGAAAAAGATGAGGCGGTCTGTTTCCGTTAGGATTGACAGTCTCAGAAACTCTCGGGAGCAGTGGGTTTTTGCACTTTCCAGGGAGACAGAAATCTGCAGGGAGGAGAAGGGAGGATCAGCTCCCCGCACCATCACTGAAGACACAGGGAAAGCCAGCAGGCAGATATTTATTCCGTCAGTCTGGGGGAGCGTGGGAGAAGGCAGCGGGACCCTGAAGTGTAGGTCTCCACCCTCCCCCAACGGGAAGACCACCAGAAATGCAAGGGTCCTGGCCGCCCTGCTCACGCCCAGCACCAGCTCCAAATTTGGCTTGAGACAGGGGGACCAGGGCTGCAGGGCTGACTGGTTTGGTCTCCTCTGGCCCCTCCTCATTTGCCCCCACCGTGGTGCCCTCATGGTTATCGTCCCAGGGTGAAGGTTCAGCCTCGGGGTCTGGGGGACACAGAGGTTCCCCCAGGGTGTCCGGGTGCTTGCGTTTGGCATGGCGCCGCAGTGTGTTGGCCTCGGTGAAGCGTAGCCGGCAGATGGGGCACTGGAAGGGGCGCTCGCCCGAGTGCACGCGGTGGTGGTGGGCCAGCTCGCCAGCCTCGCGGAAGCTCCGGGGGCACAGTGGGCAACGGTAGGGCCTCAGGCCGGCGTGGATATTGCAGTGACGCCGAAGGTGGCTAGATCGTTTGAAGGCCTTGCCGCAATCCTTGCACTCGTGGGGTTTCAGCTCCGAGTGGGAGATGCTATGCCGCTCCAGGTCAGAGAGGTAGGGGAAGGCCCGCAGGCACACGAGGCAAAAGTGCGGAGCCTTCTTGGGGCTGGCGCCCTCGGGCCTGCCCGTCACCGACCCTTCGGACACTGTGTAGGGCACACCCTGGTCATCGATCAGCAGGAGGTCGCTACCCCCACCGCTGCCCACGGGGGACGACACCCCTTGGGACAGCAGGGGCTCCTGCCCAGACCTGGAGGGGCGGCCTCGTTTACGAGTGTGAGAGGCCTTAAGCTTCGGATTCGTAGGGGTGGAACCCTCAGGATGACGACCCCGGCGGCCCACGGGAACAGAAGGTAAAGCCAGAGGTTTAGCTTCCTCCCTTGGCAAAGGCGAAGGCAACGGGTCTGGGTTGGCGTTGTCCATTGAGTAGTGGGGGGCTTGGGTCAGGGTACTGGAGCTGGGCTAGGAGGAGAGAGGGGTAGGATCAGTGCAGGAAGGTGTTGGGGGCATCTCTGTACCCCCAACACTTTGCCCCATCCCTCTTTCCAAATCCTAGGCATCGCTGCCATTTCAACCATGCACGGAAGCCTCACCGAAGTCTGGGGAACATAGCAAAATAACTGTGTATCCGTTTAAACTACCCTCTAAATGTTTTCTTTAATTAGCCCCGGTGGCGCTGCAGGATAAGCAATGGACTGCTAATGGCAAAGTCAGCAGTTCAAACCCACCAGGGAGAAAAATGAGGGTGTCTGCTCTGAAATCCTATACAGAATTGCTCTGAGTTGGAATCCACTTGATGGTAGTTGGGGCTTTTTTGGAATGCTTTCTTTAAGGAGCCCTGGTGCGCAGTGGACTTGAACCTACCAATTACTCTTTGAAAGAAAAGTGTGGTGGTCTGCTTCCGTAAATATTTACCAACTGAAAAACCCTATGGGGCAGTTCTACTCTGTCTTATAGGGTGTCAATGAGTCAGAATTAACTTCACAGCGCAGGTTTGATCTAGAAGTTCAGGGTCAATTTAGGCTGAAAAAACCCCACATTTCTTTTCAAGGAGGATACCACCGCCATTTCATGGATTCTGATGAAAACAGACTGCTTCATCTTTCTCCTCTCTGAGAGACTTGTGGATTTGAATCACCAACCGTCAGTCTTTTGGCTAGCAGCCCAACACTTAGAGGTTGACAGTTCAAACCCACCAGCTTTCACAGGAGAGAGATGTAGCAGTTGGCTTCCATAAAGATGACAGCTTTGGAAACTCCATGAATAAGTTTGACTCTTAGAGCCCTGTTGGTTGTGTGGGTTGTTAACCACAGCATTGGCAGTTCAAATTCATCAGCTGCTCCCAGGGAGAAAGATGAGCCTTTCTACTTCTGTAATGTATGATACTCTCAGAAACACTACGTAGGGCTGAGTCAGAACCAACTCGGTGGCAGTGGGTTTGTTTAGATATAGGGTTGATATAAATTGGAAGCGACTCAATGGCTGCATGTAACTTGATAGATGCAGATCGCCAGGTCTTCTCTTATTGGAGTCGCTGGATGGAATCGAACCACCAACCGTTTTGTTAGCAGCCCTGCCTCTAACCATTTTTGCCAATATGGCTCCTTGATATGTGTAAATTTAAGGGCCAGTATCTAAGAATTATTTAAGAGTCATAGCCGTTGAGTAGCTAAGCCTTGCACCAACCGTCTGAATAAGGGTACATGACCCCCGTTTTGCAGTGGGGAAAGTGAGGCATGGGGAAGCCAGGGTAGTTGCTCAAATTTGTCTCCACCAAGGCCAAGACTCAAGCCAGCTGTTGCTTACTCCAATGGCCCAAGGAGACAAGAGGATGTTGTGGGCGAGTCCTTCAGTCCCATGTGAATCCGGCTCTGCACATCACTAAACGCTTTTCTGAGACAATGGTTCCTCTTCTGTAAATTGGGTATATTTGACAGGGTGGATTGGAGAGGCAAGTGAGATAAGGCAGCTAGCAAATACTCCAGACACCCCCCCCCCCACTATTATTATCACCATGGAGATATGCTTATTCCCATGGCCCTCCAAACACCTGGGTCCCATGGGGCTGATTTAAAAGCAAGGCATATTGAGAACGGGATTAAAACAACAACAGGTGCAACTAGGTCCGGCCAGCGAGGGTCCACTACTTCTGATAACTTGGTTTGCTCCGGTGGGGGCTGGATTAGAACCTGGGTCATGAGAAAAGAGGGAGTGGGACTGGCCCCGTGGATCTACCCTTCTGGACCCCACCTCCATCCCGCCCTGGCGCGCACCCTTAGGCCCCCAGCGGCTAGGCCCGCGCGTGGGGCGGGCCCTGAGGGGGCGTCGACCAATGAACGACGCCCGGACTGCTGATGGCAAGGGTGCCAGGAAGGGGGTCTGCGCGCGCACGCGCGCTCACCGAACCCGGCTCGCAGGGAGCGAGGTCGGTGTGCGCGCGCGTCGGGGCGAGCGCGCAAGAAGGAACAGGTGTTGGGGGGACGCGCAAGGAGTGCGCGGCCTCGGGCCGCCCCCCTCCCATTCTCCCCAGCCCGGACCCCCGCCTCTCGGGTACCTCATTTACATGTCGCCTGGGCTCGCGTGTGTGCGCGCACGCGCGCTCACTCGCGCGCGCTCGCGGAACCTCGGGGCCGGAGCGTGGGAAGGGGCGGGGGTGAGGGGGCCCTGCCCCTCGGCAGCGGGCCGGGGGCAGCGGCGGCGCGCGGGGGTCGGCCCCGCCCCTCGGAGCGGAGGCACGCCGGCCCCTCCCTTCCCTGCCCTGTCTTGTACGCGTGCCCGCAGGGAACAAAGGGGACTCGCCGGGGCCGCTAGGAGCCTGGCAGCCCTGGGTCCTAAAGCCGGGCGAGTCTAGGCGGGCACACTGCGTCTGCGCGCCACTCTCCCTCCAGTGGCCGAAACGGGCTGGAGAAGGGTTCAAGCTCCTCCTTCTTTTCCGTGTTTTGGGGGTCAAAGACATGATTACACCACCACTAACACATCCCCGGGCACCTAGAAATGTCTTTCCTCCTGCAACGCATCCAGTGGGGTAACCCAATCAAAAACACAATGTGGGAGACGCGGGAAAAATGGCGACCCACTGCCCGGAGTTAACATGGTGCCTAAGGGGCTTCGATGCCCATCAGGGGTGAAGCGAACAAGATGGAGCCTGTTTTTTTTCTGTCTCTAAATAGCACTTCTCTCTCTTTGATGTCTTTCCTTCCTCGTGTTTCAATTATATGGTCTATCTAGGAGGAATCCGAGGCTGGGACAAGATAGTCATATCTACTCTAATTGTCGTTGGCGTCACCAAGGAGGAAAGGAGGCCAGACTTGTTGCCCTTAGTTAGTATGGCGTCTTGTTTCCTCCTTCCCCAATCTCCACTTTTACGCCTATGCCCTCACCCAAGATGGCGCTAATAGGGCTTCTCTAACCTTCTCCAGGGCAGGTAACCGCTAGGAAAAGAGAGAGAAGGGCGGGGGTGTGGAAGGGGGAGCCAAGAGGGCGGGAGGAAGGGGCAGAAAGGAAGGGCCAAGGCGGAAGTCGGGGGGCCCCCCGGGTGGAAGTGACGCTGCTCCCGCTACCCAAAATGTCGGCGCCCAGAGGGAGGTGTAAGTAATTAAAGAGGAAAGCCGACCGACTTTCCCGGCCTCCTGGGGCCGCTCCAGGTCCCCAGAATCCCCTCTCCCTACGAGTGAGGTGGACTCGCCTGGCCCCGAGTCCCACCTGCTCTGTCCCCGCCCTGGGCGCCCCGGGCCCTCACATTTAGGGACAGAGGGAGGGACACAAAAAGGCCAGCCTTGGGGCCTGGGACCTGGAGCGGACTTGGTGGGATGGGTAGGACCACAGGCTGCAGGGTGTGGGCGGGGCGGGGCTTAAGTAGAGGTCTGGGCGGAGCAAGTAGTGGGTGGAGCCTAACGGGGCGGGGCTTGTAGTGAGAGTGGGAGGGGCTTGATGGAGGGAACCTAGCTGTGGGTATAATGTGGGAGGAGCTGTGACAAAGAGGTGGGGTTTATAAAATGGGCGTGGCTCAAAGAAAGATGAGTAAGTCTTAAGATTAATGGATTGTTGTTATTAAGTGCCATAAAGTCGGTTCTGACCCATAGCAACCCTGTACAGGGTTTCCAAGGAGCAGCTGGTGAGCTTGAACCGCCGACCTCTTGGTTCAAACTGACTTTGCAGTCCAACGCTTTAACCCACAGCACCACACCAGGGCTCCCTAGTGACCCTGAATAGGTCTAAAGCTTTCCACAGCTATAAATCTTTACCAGGGCAGAAAGGCTCATCTTTCTCCCGTACAGCAGCTGGTGGGTATGAACTAGTAGTCCAGTGCTTATCTTACAGTGCCATGCCTTAAAGGATACTAGTAACAAAACCAGCGTACTTAAATGAGTCTTTACTATGCACCAGGCTTAATAAGCATATAGCACCATTTTGCCTAACCCTCATAACCACTCTATGAGGTAGGTACACCTCTAACTCCCATTTGGTAGTTGAAGAGAGTTTAGGTTGGTTTTATCTGAGGTCACACAGGACTAGTTTTAGCCACCCTGGCAGGAGAACTCAAATGTGCCCAGCTTCAAACCTTTGTTGTCTCTGTCCACTTCCTAGTAAGTGTCTGAGAAGAGTGGGAGGGGCTTGGTGAGGAGTGGGAGGGGCTCTGCATGTGTTGTTGTTGTTAGGTGCCATTGAGTCGGTACTGATTCATAGCGACCTTATGCACAGCAGAACGAAACACTGCCTGATCCTGGGCCAACCTCACTACTGTGGCCACACTTGAGTCCATCGATGCTGCCCCTTGGCCAATCCATCTCATTGGGGGTCTTCCTCTTTCTCTTTGACCCTCCACCTTACCAAACATGATAGCCTTCTCTAGCGACTGGTCCCTCCTGACAATATATCCGAAGTATGAGAGAAAAAGTTTGGCCATCTTGGCCTCCAAGGAGCACTTCTTCCAAAATGGATCTATTGGTTCTTTTGGCAGCCGATGGCACTTTCAATATTCTCCTCCAACACCATAACTCAAAAGCATCAATTCTTCTTCGATCTTCCTTATTCAGTGTGCAGCTTCTGCATGCATATGAGGTTATTGAAAATATCATGGCTTGGGTCAGGTGCACCTTAGTCCTCAGACTGACATGTTTACTCTTCAACACTTTAAAGAGGTCTTGTGCAGCAGATTTTCCTAATGCAATACGTCATCTGATCTCTTGACTGCTGCTTCCGTGAGTGTTGATAGTTGATCCAAGAAGAATGAAGTCCTTGACAACTTCAATCTTTTCTCCATTGATAAGAATGTTGTTTATTGGTCCAGTGGTGAGGATTTTTGTTTTCTTTACATTGAGATGTAATCCATACTGAAGACTGTGCTCTTTGATCTTCATCAGTAAATATTTTAAGTCCTCTTCACTTTCAGCAAGCAAGGTTGTATCATCTGCATATCGCAG